GTCGGGCTGGTGGTGGTTTCTTGAAAACGTCATTGTTCGTTGTTTCGTGGAACTGTGTGCCTGCTTCTCAGGGATCTAAGACAAAGGTGTAATTCGTTTTTTTATTTTTATTGCAGTATTTATTTATTTTTAGTTCTGATTTGTTTTGAGCGAGTAGCGGATTTATTTTCATTTTTTCAGTATAGCTGGGTGACTTACTTAATTTGCGAGAGAGGGGGGTTTTTTTTTACTCCGATGCTTGAGAGAAGACGTTGTGAGAAATTTATGTTATGGATATCTTTTTTTTTCAAAGAATTCCGTGGACTTGACAGTGAACAGATATAATTTTATTTGAAATGGTGAAACTTTTTACTCGCCTATTTTTGAGTGACCTGACGTGAAGATGTAATTATTCTCTTCCTCGTTTGTTTCTTCGTGCAGTTCTTCTGAGAATTCAAATCTGCCTGACTTCCGATATTTTAAAGCGGGACTTTTTCTCCAATTCTTGAGAGAAACAGCCGTGCTGATTTTTTTTTTATCAATTCCGTAGTTTAAAGTGTTAATAGATTTTATTTTATTGGAAACGGTGGAAAATTTAGACTAACCTGCTTGAGCTAGGTTAAATGCACAATTTCAGGTAACTGAAATTGTGATTAAAAACAATTCTCTTGCTTATTTATATCTTGTGCTGTTCATTTAATTTGTGTGACATAGTTATTATTAACTTTCCACATCTGCGTGATATTTCCTACTGAATTTTGTACTCGGATCCGTGACGAAAACAATTTTGATCATAATCCTCCTGGTTTTATTTTTTGAATACTCTACAGGAATTCCATAGTTGAAAAGTGAGCATACACTATTTCATTTTAAATTATTTGAAATTCAGAATGCACACATTTATGGATTTGTTATGTGTATTTAAGAATTGCCGGACTGATTCGAGAGCAGTTGTTTGCAAGTACTGTACACAGATACACGATACCTCGGGTTAGTTGCGTATATTTTTAAATCGGATAATCTCAATTATCAGGAAGCCATCAAATATTCGTCCAAAACATTATGTTCAATGCCCTCGCAAATTGTGAAAGGGAAGTAGGTATCCAAAAAAATTCTCTCGTATTGTGGAAGTGACACGCAGTTTTTTAATGTTCTAGAAATACTGTACTTAATGACTTGCTTGTTAATTTTTAAATCGATTTAAAAATGCCGGTGATCTGAAATTCGTTCTATTTACATATTTTCTGGTGCCTTGTGTAGTTGGTTTGATTATTGATGTTTGGGTGTGCTGACCATCATGTGCATTTTCGAAGAGCCAATTTAAATAAAGTAAAGGATTGAATGTTGTCAATTTTCATAATTTTTATTACCGAAACATATTTTTTTGTGCGTGGATGAAGAAAATACAAGATGAAAATATCCGACGCCTATTTATATGCATTCAGATGCGTTTCCGAAGAATTATTTTTCCGGTTTTGTACGAGTACTAGTGCGTTTAAAATAGTCAGTTTTGAATATTGTAATTTATTTAAAATTTCCCGGGTGGTTTTTCCTCAAGTGAGGCCGTGAAGGCAAGAAAGTTTTCTCTTGGGAGTTCCAAAAATTTCCAGATGTGAGAATAAGTTTCGTAGTTCCAATTTCAGAATAGTGAAAGTTTCGTCTTTCTGGAAGGAATCAGTTTTTTATTTATTTAATAAGTTTCGTTGGTTTCAGTTGCAGCCCAGCAGGGAATATTTCTCCGAAGATCAGCTCCAGACTTGAATCACAGAAAAGAAAAAAAAAATTCTGGTTTTTGTGTTCCAAACCCTGAACTCCATTTTTCAAAGTCGCATACGAATGTCATCCCTTTTGATGCTAAGCAGCGACACAAGTCGAAGCGAAACGAATCGCAGCCGAAGGATATATAGTCGAAAATGCCTTTGACCTAGGATCGTAATGCTACTGCATAATAGTCCAGTCCAGAGTGAATCTCTCTAGGGTTTATATAGGGAGGCAATTGTGAGTTCGGAAGACATATTTATGTAAATTGGCTCCGAGGTCCGTGAAGCGACCTTTTTTTGAATGGAAGATCCCTGTTGAGGAACGTGTCCTCAAATATCTCCGACTGATCAGACACGGCAATGCATTTTCAGCAGTATATCCGAGTAGGATGAAAAACCGGTGCGATAGCGATTCTGTGTTAACTTCTGAAACCTTTTCTTTCCTTCGCAATTCCCCCCTTTTTTCACGTGGAACATTTCCTGGCGAGGAATGTTGCATTATCCGCGAATTACCTGCGGGAATCTGAAAAATAACGGTAGATGCAATAATGTGTTTTGTAATAAATTTTTTCAAGGGTGAATTTTTAAAATCGACTGATTTTACTTTCTACGAATCTTTAGTCCTTTTGATTATACAGTACTGTAGCTTGAAAATAAGTTCACATTGATCGCGTCAAAAAATTCCTACGTGGGATTGAAGAATAACCAAAGCTAATATTTTCGATGTTGGTAAAAAAAAATTAGAATGATTTTACTTCCACGAATAATTCTTCCTTGTGAGACTATATATCCTGAAAATAAGCTTCTGTCGACTGTTTGGATGAGTTTTTGTAATTGTAGATACGAAAATATTTCTGAACAATCGATGAATTCTGGGGGGTTCAAATCGAGTATCTAGAAGACAAAAATTGCATTGGATCATATTCGAGTATGCGCCGCTTTACTGTGCACAATACAGTATATTTTATTAAGGGAAAGAGCAATTTTTTAAAAATTTAATGTACGGTTTTTTCCCTTTTTTTTTGGCACGTGGATTTTTTTTTCGCGAAACTGGAAAAAATAAGTCAGTTGCGTTTGCATCAAAGGCAGTTTATTCTCAATTATGTGATGAATTATGATTAATTATCAAGCTTTTTCACTTGAGAAAAATATTTTTCTCTTATATAGAATATCAGCAATTTACGCCTGACTCCCCAATAAAAACGACCTCGTCGGTATAAATTTCCCATTCAAACCCGGGTATATTTGAGCCCACCCGGACGTTTCTAATGGGGCGAATAGATTATCATTGCTACACTCGGATTAGTTTATACTTGTTGCACATGTGACTTGGAACCGAGATGAAGCTTCTTGGATGTCGTTCATCCGATAGTCCGAGTTGCTCACGAAACGACTGGCACTTTTTTTCTTTTTGTCTGTTGTCTAATTGGGGTAAGTGCCTTGTTGAGTTTTCTCTCATGGTGTTTTGGTTGGCTGCACTTGCCCCGGAAATCCTCTACTCAGGGCGATGACATTGTGCTCTTCCAAGTTTTTATTTTTTGTCCTTCTTGAATGATACGAATATTTTTGTGTTGGTTTCTTTTTTTAAAAATCAGAATACGACGACGACAACGTGTTTCCGGGATAAATTTTTTTGGTGATCATCACTGACCAAAGAACCGACATTTTAAGTAAAACTGAAGAACTCGGGTGATCTGGGCTAATGACTGAGTGCTTATTGTCTGGATGCTGATGGGAAACTGCTGACGTTTTTTTTTTCTTTTTTTTCGGGGGAACCCGAATATTAAGGAATGTACTGGCATAATTATACCGACATCAGAAGAGGGTTTAAACGAATTTCCGGGACAAATTTCATCATTTATAATCACTGGTGACGAAAGAAATATTGTAAAGTAGATTTCAATTAATCTGGGATAATGACTGCGTGCCTCTCGCTGCATTGTCACATTTTATTGAACATTCAAGCTAGAACCCAACAATTTACCTTTGCAACAATGCTAATATGCCCAAGAAAAGAAGAAAAAAACAATCTTGAACAGAATTTGCGATGCCCAAGTTTGAGCTTAAATTACCTGCGACTGTCGATGACATCTAACCGTCGTAAAATGAGTAGTGATGTAAAGAAGAGAAGTGATGCTTTGACTCATTTCGTTGTTGGGAAAATTGCCGCCATGCAACGAATTTTTATTATTTTTTTCTCCTAAATGCCGTTCACTTTTCCCTGTTTTTCAGTACTGTAGCAACATCCAACTTTGAAATCCAGGTTACTGGATGAAGTAGGACTGACATTCTCTGTTTTTTTTTTTTCATTGGGAAAGCTCTTGGTTTTTGCGTGTCGAATGCGCCAATTTTCCGATTGAGAAAGGATGGGGGTTGGAAAGGAAAAATGAGAAAAAAAATTCGTGTACATTTGAGAAAAAGCTGTTTTATCGTAATAGATTTCCATTTGCGACTTCACGAGCTCCAAATTCAAAGCGGAGACCGTTCAAAATCATTAATGCACTGGGTGACACGAACCCGTTCCTACACGCGTTTCGTTATGGAGAATTTTCGTTTATCGACAAACTCATTTCTCCTTAAGATTACATTTTAAATTATTGAGCTCGTGCCAAACACTCGGCAAAAGTCCGCGATGAACGATGAAATGTGTGTACAGTATATTTTTCATCGTAAATTAGTGAATTTAAAATTGATCATTATGAAACTGGAGTTATTCTGAGAACTTCTGATTCTCAAGTCCCTAATGATTTCAGAAATTTTAAAGGCAAGAAGCAGCAAGACTAAATCATTATTTTCTCATTCCCTCCAGCCGCCTTCACAGCCGTCAAAGTGGCCGCCACTTTGACGGCTGTGAAGGCGGCTGTTGATGAAACGGCGGAATTGCCTTGGATGACCTGGAGGCAACCCTTAGAAAGAATGCCATGTTGATTTCAAAAATTCTGAGGGGAAAGCTGGGCTACAACAGAAAAAGGGCGCCTCATCTTTTGAGTGGAGAGGAAAACTCTGCCAGGGTGAATTATGAAAAAAATTCAAAAAAATTGTCAAACAGTGTGTGTCGCAGAACATGTTTTCCCTACAGAATATTTTTTTCAGCTCAATTTTTAGCCATTTTCATTGCTGCTCCGAGAACTTTTGTTAGAACCCTCGTATATGGAACCGTTTCGTCGTGTGAATCACTGTTTCTTACCCCTGTAAATTTCCGAATGCGAAATAGTCGTTATTGTACGGAACTCGGGGACCCACTGTACTGTACAGTAACCCTTGTTTGTTTTCTTATCCGTCAGGAAGGTGAAAAATGCGCTTTTCGACACTCGTCGCCGCGACAGCCGTGTTGCTCGTCGGCAAGGTGTCGAGCATTGCCAACGATCCAGCTGCAGAAACCGACGCGGAAGAAGCCATGGCGTTCTCCGACTACGACTTCCCACCGTCAGCAGCGTCAGAGGTGCCTTTTCAGGTCTCTGGTGACAACGAAGCAGCAGCAGCAGCGGAAGAAGAAGACCTCGGATTCCTCGACACATCCACTTCCTTGATGGATGAAGAAGAAATCGGTCCGACGGGTGCCACGACGACGACGACGACGACGGTGGGGGCGGCGGTGACAGTGGCGTCCGTGTCGGTGCGCAAGTGTTGCCCCGATGGCCACGTGGGGCTGGAGTCGAGGTCGGAAGTGGTGCGATGCGTGGCACGCGAAAGTGCGGCGACCAATAACAACAATAATAATAATAATGACAACGGCAACACGTGGGGCGGCAAGTTTTCGACGTTCACGGAAGAAGGAATGGCGGAAGTGGTGGCGGACCGGGTGGACGCCGCCGGGCACGGAGTGCCGGCTTGTCGGGCCGTCAGGTTAGTCGGCTTTTTTTCTGTATTCTTTCGTTCGTCGTATTTTATGTTTTGTATTTTTTTATTTCATTTTTTTTTGTTTATGTTTTTATTTGTCGTACTTTATGATTTTATTGGTCTTATTTTTATTTTTTATATTTTTATTTGTCGTATTTTATTTTGCATAAAGTATTTTTATTTTTCGTATTTTGTATTGAGTACAGTATTTCATTTTTGTCGTACTTTATATTCAATATTTATTTAATTTTTCGTCGTGATTTCGTGAACCCATTTATCTTCCTTTTTTTTCGTAAACCAAGATTACAGGACGCGCGATAGAACCTCGATATTTTGCGTTTTTCGAGTGAATATATTAATAACAGTGGAACCTCGATAACTTGAACCTCGCTGTATCGAATTTTTTCAGTCTGAATTCCCTTGGAAACCATGCATTGAACCCCTCAACCCCCGCTTAACTCGAAGGCTTTCCTACTCATACCCTCTTAACTTGAATTTTTTGGAGACCTTTTTTTTTATTATTTCATTGACACAGGTAAGAGAATAGCAATAAAAAATTGAACTTGGTGGGTTTTGAAAGGAAGTGAGAGACTAATTTGTCACAAAAAAAAAACCTTGGCTCCAGGTTCAGCATCCCGTCAACCCATTTAAGAAGCAATTTAAGGCCTGGAATATCAACGATACAAATTTCCTGTAATTATATTCCTTCTTTCCCCTCCAACAAAAATGCTTGTTTCCCTCACTGTAAATCTTTTGAAGTCAAATTTTTTTTTTTGCTGGTCGCTTATTGAGGTTCTACTGTATAATTCTTCATGCAATGCAACGAACAGTTGGTTTTTTTTAAAATTGTGTTGCTGGTTCTATTTTCGAGAAAAAATCCCCATCGAAAAACAATATTCGGGTTTCATTATTTTCATTCAGCAACATTCGCTTGCTGAAATACAGTAGCAAGTACCGTAATAAAAATCGAAGAGGAAAAAGGGTCAGAACGGAACTCGTGAACATCAGAAGTTACGGATTCTTCTACAGTATTTGAGTTTAGATTGCATACAGACAAGAGCTGCTTTTCTTGTCAATCGTAGAAGTCACAAGTCTTGGAAAAAAAAATTCTGAAAATAAGCTCTGCGAGTCGAAAAAGATGGTTAATCTTTGAAATGCAGAAATGAGGTTAATCGGTTCTTGTTCCTTTTTTTTTCCTCTTACCACGGACTTCATTCTAGTATTGATTTTTCATGAGGCGGCGTAGATTTACGAATTGTTTTTACATCAGGATGCAGAAAGAGTTCGTGGGATGTGTTTATTTTTATTGCCCCTGCTTCCCTAGGCGTGTCCTGATCCGACCTAAATTTCAAAGTTTTTCTTATTTATTCCGCGGAAAATTGGCGCAGCGTGAGAAAAGTTTATCCGAATCTCAAAATGAATTCAATTTTTTTCGGCATCGTCAAGGTAGCACACGAAAATTCGAAATATTATGTATTCGAAAGATTTTTGTCCTCACTCAGCTACATTTCATCTCAATTTCCTGCTCATGTTTTTACCGAATCAACGAATTATGTTGCTAAGTTTGCAACAAGTCCGTTTGTCTTGAAATATTTTTTTTTATTTCCTAAGGAAATCCCTTGATCGAACCAAGCACGATTTTTTCGCACTCTGTATATTTTTTATTTACTTCGCAGCTATCTGTTTCCGGTGTATTTCCCGAGCCAGGAATTCTCCGTGTCCGTGGACGACGGGAACATGCGTCGAGTGACGGGCCATGTGCAACCCAACGGCACGTATTGCGTGGACAGATTCGTCCTCGGGGAAAACCTGACGTCCACATTCCACGGCGCCGTTGTTTGCGCCGAGGACACTTGGTTGCCGCCGCCAATGACGATGACGACGACGACGACGAGTGCCAAATCTCACGATGATGCGCATAAGGACGATCACGACGTCGTGTACAAGTGTTGCCTCGGGAACCAGGTGGCGTCCCTTTTTTCATAATTTTTTTTTCTTTCTCATTTTCAAGTCGTTGTTGCCTTGTTTTGCTGACTGTGACAGTGATGGATCCCTGTTTGAGCGTGCTTCTGTTACTCAGTGCTGCCAATTTGTTTTGTGTCGGCACCGGCTTTGAAGTTTTCTTAAATTTATGGGAGGGAGAGGGGGTTTGAGCCTTTTTATGAGGGTTGCAGTTGGTGAAGGATTATGTTGCAGACAGCGTATGGGTCATGTCTAGTGATATTCCGTAGTCTGAGTGTGGGAATTTTGGAGCAGAAGCACTGAGGGAGTATACCGCATATGATCCTGAAGAAACGCATTTTTTTGCAGGGTGGGAGCAAAATAAACTGAAAATGAAAGAATTTGTGCGTTTGCGTCTCCTGAAAGATTTAAATGTTGAAAACAAAATGTCAAATTAAAGTTGCTTGAATTGTCTCTCGGGTTGCTTTAAAATCAATTGTGTTGCGTCGATCGGTATGACCAGAATGCGGATTAGGATTCAATAAAATATACCTAACCAAGAAAACGCGGTTCCTTACAAAAGTTACGACAGATTTTGAAAACGAAAGTTTGTCTCCGTTCCGACTGACTTCAGTGAGACGCGTGAATTAACACTTGAGCAAAATATTGCCTTTTTTTCAGAAAAAAATATTTCCATTTCAAAAATAATGATCTATAAAACACTTCTGTGAATTGTTGAAGTGTAACGTAATAATAACGTTTCTGAGTTTTAGTCTTCGATTTTGAAAATATTATACCTTTAGATAAAAAAATGCAATTTTCTGGAAAAAAGTAGTCGCGTCGTTCAATTTTTATTTCTGAAATTCAAGTTCAATTAAAATAAGGCGCATATATAAAATTATTGAGTAACGTTTTTGCGAGAATGGTGAAAATGTGAAAATAAATAAATCGCAAATTGCAGAATCCAGCTTTCGTTGAGCAGTTTGAGAACCTTTGAGACGTTGAAATTCTCCTCTTTTTTTTTTTTTTGCTGTTGTGCAATGCAATTTTCTGATGGATTTTTGTGATTTTCATGCATTTTTAGATTCTGGATTTGGCCGAGAAAACTTGCGTGGATCCTGGAACCGAGGTCCCGCCTTTGC